TACCAGCCATTTTCCTCCAACATGGATGAATGAAGAGGATCCATCTCCCTGGCAAGCATTTTTGGCAATAAGTTGTCAATCAATATATATATATATTTTTTAATAGTACAACATTTTCCATGTGTTGTTTACAGAGGAGTTTGGAAGGTCAGGGTCAACCTACCCTTCGCCCCCCAAACCAGGTACCAACAAAATATACCTCATTCTGGAAGTAACAAGTTTCTTTGTTTACCAGGTGATATGGTCACACTTATACGACACAACATCAAGTGGTGACAAGGGAACCTTGTACGCAGCACGTAACTTCTTGGAGGCACGCGGAGTCACCAGTGATCCAATGAGAAACATCAATGCAGCTGCCGACCTAATAACTCAATTCACCACTTCCTTGGTGATAGCAGCATCCATGAAGTACTTTGGGATTGACTCAATTGCTGATAACCCAACACAGAATGAGTTTCAATTTGCAGTTCATCACGACCGCAGCCACTATGTGCACATGGTTCTCGAAGAAATTGTCAACAAGTAAGCCCTTCCCAGCATTGATGAGATGAAACAAGATTCGTCCAGATTGTCCTGTCCTAATTGTAACAAGACATACTCTACGCAAAGAGGTCTGAAAACTCACATGAAAAAGGTACACCCTGGGATTCAACAGCCAGCACAACAGAAACCGGGATTGTCTCCTCAGAAGGATGCTCTTTTCAATTACTCCCGAACAGCACTCAGTTTGTGTATGCTTGCCTACGATTTAATGATGCTCGTCAGATGGGTGATGGCGACCGAATAATCCGTCTGTGTACAAGTTCTTGCTTCACTTTAAAGCAGCCAACAAACCCAAGTACAGCTACCAGGTTCTTCGTTTGTTGGCACAGGTGAATTGCTTTCTCACCCCCCGATTGACATTTGAGCTGAAATGGAATCGGTTTGTGAATAAGACAGGCCAAATAAAACATAACATCGAGGTAGATCGAGAACTAGAGCACCAAAATAGAGTGTTTAAGGAGAACTGTGGGGGTCTGAGGGGGATAGTTACCAAGAACAACATTGATCGTATAAGCCGTTCAGCTCAAATCATCGATGAACTCCTAACCTCGGTAAACCAGCAGGCAAGAGTTCACAAGCCATCAGGAAAACACCCAACCAAGATCACAAAGGACCAACTGGACCTTGCATTTGAGCTTCACAAAGATAGAGTGTTTGATGTCCAGCCCGGAAGGAAACACTTCCATTTCCCAGACTTTCCCTTCTCAATGCTTTCAACAGTCAGCCTTCCAGACCTTCACAAGTGGATGAAGACTTCTTTGAAGCATATGGCAAAGCACAATGAAGAAACTACCTGAACAATCTTAGGCAGTCTAACCGTACAAAGAAGAAGGGCCAACGTTGGTTGACAATTGACATCAACAAGTAATACTAAAGTTGGTAATGTCTTATCGTACACTGTTGTATTGTTATAAAATCTTTTGAAATTATGGCAAAATCTAATTTCTTGTGCTATTTTTCCCCCGGCAAGTTTCATTGAAAGCATGAGATAAAATATAAATGCAAAAAGGGATTCAGCAGCTCTTTTGAAAACAAACTGAAGGACTGCACGAAACCTGACAAGACACAATTTGACTGGTCTTTTGATCATTTGATTGGACATTGTGCCTACAGCTTAAAGTTTGCTAATAACGGTTCACACTTGATTAAACCTGGACATAAACACACAATAGATAATTGTTTCATTGATTAAAACCATACAATTATCATTCATTTTAATATGATCAACAATCAAGTGCCATCAAAATAATTATGTACAGGTATTTTTGGTGAAACAACTTGTAGGTAAAACGTTATATTACACAACAGCCTTCATCAATAACTCAATTGTAAATAGTTTTAAATAACCAATTGAAAAGTTTTATGTTCATTCAATTTTGAAAGGTATACTGCCTAGTTAATACTGTCCAGTCATATTTCACATAGTTGTTTTGGAATCTACATATGTGACCATCACACCACAAAAATTAATGTCTGACTACATGACAACAATAAGTCATTGGTTATTACACTATATATACAGTAACCTATGCAAAGAATGAATACACCGGGTTTGTAAACACTAAGTAAATGAGACTTTATCAAACAAATTAAAACTCAAACAATACAAATTTGCAAATTTGAATAAATTAGTAAACCATTTTTTTACCAAAAGTCTTACGTGGTTGTATACATGTACAGTTGGTAGAAGCACCAATTATCAATTTAATAATGTGTCCTTCAAATGACACATAAACAATGATTATAACATAATCAGCTTCATACGGGAACAAAAAATGAAAATTCACTCAATATGAAATAACTGTTTGGTCATATTTTTTGGTCATCATTTTTTCACCAAAAAATCTTACGTGGTTGTATAAAGTTGGTAGAAGCACCAATTATCATTTTAATAATGGTTGAAAAGTTTGTTTGAAAAAACTCTGACCTTATTTATGTGTCCTTAACATGTCACATAAACAATGATTATAATATAATCAGCTTCATACGGGAACAAAAAATGAAAATTTACTCAATATAAAAAATAACTGTCATTATATTGGTCATTATTTTTTGGTAATGATACAATTATGGTTGAGTAAACAATGGGATAAGTGCACTATACATGTACCTATTGAATACTTTATTAAACTGAGTATTTACACCACGTAAATAGCATCCTTCATGTGCATTGTAATGATTAAAATGTAAAAGGCAAACTTTAAAAGATAATGTGCACTGAAGTTAATGCATACATGTACTTGTACAAAAGTCAGAAACAAATAGCAACCCCAATGAGTGTACATGTATAAATTCTTCTGTAATCTCTTAAAGTGGGAAATTCGTGTCTTAACTTGATAAATGTCAAACAAGAACAGTAAGAAATATCCAATATGGCCTTCCAATATGGCCTTCCTATATGAAATATGGCCTTCACATTTACATACATCAGGCATGCAAAGTACAGTTTGCCAAAAAATGATGAAAGTGGCAAAGTGCCATGAACAGTGAATCAATGTGTACACTGTTTTTAAATCTCCAATTTGACAGCTGAGAAACTAAAAGAAAGAAAAATCCTAATATGCCTAATATATGTGTGTTACTGTACTTACATCTTTACTGCCCACATAAAACACATGTTTTTGAACTGAAAGCTCCTATGGTTCCAGACCACCAAATACGCGTCCATAGGAATAAACGCAAAATCAAACATAAAGAGCGCCATCTTGGGGCTCTCAGGAGTGAGGCAGTGATTTTTTTTTTTCACTTGAAATTAATGATTACGACTTCCGGCACAATTTTCTGCTCAACTTTTCCCACATTAGCTGATTAGATGATTTGTTTTATATGCCCCTCCCCCCAAACCACCCCTTAAGCGGTTGCCAATGTCTGGGCCAAGGTCTACATGTATCCCCCCGCCTCTATGCGACTTAGACCTACAAGTTCGGCTTTTTGGGGCACAAAATCCCCCGAGTTGGAAGCTACAAGTCCCAAATACTTGATCTCCAGCAATATTTCTACAATCTATCTCAAATATAGGCCTCGAGGACCGCTTATACAAAATCATCGGTGGGATCACAAAATATTAATGAGCTCGCGCGCAGGAATTTACAGGGTTATGGTGGTCTGCACCCCTATGGCATTAACCCTCCTTCTATTTAAGCAGTCAAGTCCAGTCAAAATTTAGATGTGTAGAATATCAGGAAAATGAATTCATGCAAGAAAAGGTCTAAAAATTATATTTGAATTTTATTGTTTTGTTTATTTATTGGAGTTAAAACGATTCCAAGAAGGTTGCAGCTTCAAAACATTATGCACATGGGAGCAGTCATCAAGTGTTTTGTATTCCAGATCCTGAACTAAAAATTTTCACATAAGTGTTGCCATTTAATCGCTTTCACTGGTATATACAACCTCAAGCTCAGCGTACTCCCCATGAAAAGCATCCTCTTCAGAAATATCTGAAGATGTATCCGACTCCAACATGTCCAAAAAACCAGCAACATCATTAGTTGACTGGACACTTTGGTCATACACAACGGTTTTTACAATGTTCCATACTTCCAAGGCGATTTCTTTGCGTCCAAATGCGTATCGCTCACAAAACTCACTGAAGGGAAAAACAACGGACACTCATTGACTTTATTCTTTAGGTGTCAAGTCGGAAAGTCCACGTGCTATATCTTGACTTGTATACAAGTGGTCACTACTGTCTGTCAGTAATGTTTCTTTGTATTCTTGCAGCTTGCACTTTAGTTCGGAAACAGCACTGTCTGTCACAGTAACAACTTAGCATTCAGCTGATCCTAGCCCATGCAGCATGATATCCCGTATCTGCTGTTTAGCATGTGATGGTTCAGCTGAGCATGTGTTTTCATCACATGAACATGTTTTTGCACAAATGTCACAGCAGTTGTGTTTAGCTATGACTCTTTCATCACCACTAGATGGGAAGTTGTTCTTGATGGCTAGCCGTCTACATTCTTCTCCTTTCATGAATGCTTTCATGCCCTCACTAGTTTTCAAACCAGCGCTAGCACCGGGATAGTTTACAACGAGTGCCACACTCTGGTTGCCATCACGACCTGCCCGCCCACTCAACTGCATTAGGTCATCTAATTATGTTGGTTGACCTACCAATATAACAGTATGAAGCCCGCGTACATCAATTCCAAGGCAAAATGCAATGGTTGCAAAGAGTACTCGAACCTCGCCGTCCTCTAGTGCAAAGCTATTAATAATTGTCCTTTTAACATCTCCTTCAGTGTTAGTATGATACATATCGAAGAATGCATGCGACTCCTTTGGAAGAAGAGAGCAGAATAAGGAGTATAGTTCACCGACATTCTTCCGTGACTGACAGTACAATATAACTCACTCTGTCGAACGGCCCTTCTCCGAGATCTCATCCGCAATCCACTTGAAGATGGCTTAAAAGTTCTTGTCAGCTGTCTTGACAACCACATATTTAATGTTATGACGTTCAGGACTTACTTCTATTAAGCTGTAGTTCCTCAGCCCCAAACTGTCAACAATTGTTGCCTCATTGTGGTTGTTGCAGTTGCTGTCATCGCTACAACGCACGTTGATTGGTTCAAGATGGAGCGTAACTCTCCTAACTGGCCATGGCACTTCCGAAAAACTGTTCTCTGACTTGATGAATGACCCCTGTGAATTATGACAAAAGGATATTATGATAATTTAAAAAATGTGGATTATCCATTAATTTTATAATACAAGTTTTTGGCTTTTACAGTAGGATTTGAAACTACTATTACAATTACAATGAAGTGATCTTTGCAATAACATCATGGAGATAATCTTGCTCTCTTTGTAGTGGTTTTAAATGAAAAACATCACTCCCATGATATTGCTGCAAACCATTACATGTACAAGTATTTTAAAACGTTGGGGGAAAAAACACCTTGTAATGCTTGATTGTCACTTTAACTCTTACTTCTTCTTTTTTCTGTTTTCTTTATATATTGTTTTGGACTCTATCCAATCGGGATATTTATCTCAAGTCTTATTTTTGGCACTAAAAAAAAATTAAATAAATAAACTTTTATGGCCTATGGGTAATGAATGTTCATTTGCACCTCCTTGGAATTAATAATCTGAAGCCATAAGAATGTTTAAGGATGGTTCACAAGCTCAGCCACCCATGTGAATAGGTCATAAAAACATGAAAGGAAGAAGATGAATGGGCATGCAAAGAGCTTGGCAGGGTATTACTTGACAAAGCTTTTCAAAGAAGCCATTCACAGGTCTGTCATAAACCCCAAGTGGTCTTACTTTTAACATAAAGGAGGAATAACCCTCTAAGCTCTTAGGTAGGCACTCCTGTATTCAATTGGTAAATAGAGCAATAAAAGCAGACACAGAACAATTCTTTGAAAACAACACCGATTCTCATGAGCAATGAATAGAACATCCATTATTGTGTAGACACCATGTCTACCTAGTTAGCCAATTACAAAAACTTGAAAAAATATGTGTACATTTCTTATGCTGTTGATAACTTCCTATTGGCTTTCAAGTTTATCTACATGACCAACAAAACAACATACTTACCCCCCCCACCCGTTTGTGATTTATATTTATGTGGCAATCACATTTTCCTTAAGCTAGCCACACTTGTTTAAGATCAATCTTAATTTTTGTGAAACCAGGCTTTTATGCAGATCAGTTGGGACAGATTTTGTTTAATAATGTTATTTAATTTTGTTCTGCAAAATATGCCTAGGATTAGGAATGGCTGAATATTTTTTTTTTTTTAAAGAAGGTACATACCATTTCGATACGCAATGACTTTCGTCAACAAACAATCCACAGCATCTGTTTTTGACCAACAGCAGTAGTTCCTTCCCTTTGCTTGAGCAAAGACTCTCTGGACTGGCAAACAAGATCGAGTATTTAGGCGATTGTTCCAAAACATGGTCTGGGATATCCGAAGTAATATCAGCAGCCTCCAGACCGAGTTTGCAAACTCGGTCTAACTGATCTACTGCCAGAGCCTTTAGCGGCAGGACGACAATAACCAATGATTTGTCGCAATCGCTGATGTTGTCGTTTCCACGAACACGGTCACCTTTCAAAAAGTCCACAACAACTGTGGAACCTTGGAAGATCAAGCTTTTTCCAAACCCAGTTGGTAAATTGATAAATATATCATTACCCTGGGCGAATTGCCGAAGAGCGTTAACTTGTTGGCTTTTAAACTTATCAAGACCTAACTTTCTTGCAGCAAAATCAATAGCATCATCTACTCTGTCGGACGCCATTTTTGTGTTAGCACGATCGACGCGTTTGTTGTCGTCGTTATGTACTGTACATTGTACAATGCATGGATGCCTAGCTGTTTCTGGACGTACAGACACCAGACTGTGATAAATCATGCTAATACTGCTACGTCAGAGTTTATGCAGGCCCCCGCAGCGACATGGTTGGAATGTGCTCGGAATTTCGCCAAGTATGCGTCACAAAACTGCATTTTACTTCAAAAATGATGTTTTCTCGAAATGGAAATGACGGCACGAAAACGCTAAATCGTACCAGGTCACAAGTCACACGCTGCATAAAAAACACACGTTATCAGAATTTGTGCACGCTAGATGGCAACTGTCGACCGCACACAGCTTCATTGATGGTTTGTAGAGCCTTAATAATAGCCTTAGTAATATGTTGCATATTCATATTAATAAACCAATCAATCTTTATATCTTTTGCGGGGTATTTAAATCCACCAACGAAACAAAGGGATCGCTGCGCGTACTGTTTATTTACATCGCGTTCGGTTGTCACGTGGTATTACCACCAACTCCATCTCGCCAACAGAGGGCGTACTTTTTATGCGTGAAACTGCCGTGGTCTACGGTGATCAGATAGTCAGCACGTCTTTAGTGAAAGAGATCTTGACTGACTATGCTCCAAGCCCGGTTGGGTATTTCGTATGACATCATCGGCTCTTTTTGCTGTTTGATCAGGACTGGCACTGGCTAACCCTGTCCTTGACCGGTACAGTACTTCTCTGGCTCTTCATAGGCAAGCCTCTACTCCAGGGTGACTTGAGTGGATTCTGGCAAGCATCATGTTGTGCATCGACTTTGGTATGATGACTCTCATGCCTTTGTAGAGTGTGCCATCTTGAACAGTGATTTCATCTCGGAAACCGAAGTATTCGCAGATGCATATTTGTACTTCGTTTCTCAGCTCTGGCCATCCTTCAAAGACCATGTTTTTCAAGACTTGTAGAACTGGATCAGCTTGTGTGACCTTCTTGATCTGCATCTACGTGCTATCCTTCATGCAAAGATAGCTGGACTGATTGATGATTTCAATCTCTGACATGAGTCTCTTTTCTTGCCTCAGCTGGAACATCTGGTACTCGGACAAGTGACTCTTGTCGGTGGTCTTCAGGGAAGCTCTGCTCAGCATGTCGGCTATGTACATCTGGCTACCCGGTAGGTACTGTACTCTCAGATTGAACTTCTGTAGCGTCAGAAGCATGCGTTGTAGCCTCTTAGGTGCTTTGTGTATTGGCTTCGTGAATATCGGAACCAATGGCTTGTGATCCGTGTTCACGGTGATCAGCTCTCTGCCATGTAGATACTGATCATATCTCCCGCACGAGAAAACTATGGCTAGGCACTCTTTCTCTATTTGTGCGTAGTTCTGCTCTGCATAAGTAAGAGAACGGGATGCGAATACGGCTGGTTGCCCATTCTGATGGAGAGTCGTTCCCAGCCCTTTCTCGGACGCGTCACACTGTATTGTGACCTCTTCCTTCAAGTCATAGTACCGAAGTACTAGAGCACTGGTGATCATGTCCTTTATCTGCTGAAAGGACTCTTCTTGTTGTGACTGCCATGTGAAGACTGCGGTTTGCTCTGTCAGCTTTCGGAGTGGCTCACTCACCTCTGCAAGCCTTGGCAAGTATTGCGATAGGTAGTTGACACATCCCAGCAGACGCTGGACTGCTTTCTTCGAGTCTGGCCGCTGCATGTTTTGCATTGACTCTACCTTCCTTGGATCTGGACGAATTCCATCGGCAGTCAAGATTTGGCCCATGTACGTCACCTCACTCAGTCGCAATCTCAGCTTTTTCCGGTTGAGTTTCAGGTTTGCCTCTCGTGCTCGCTGAAGTAGTGCTCTCAAGCTCCTGTCATGTTCCGCTACATCCCGACCGTACACCAGGATATCATCTGCGATGACTGCTGTACCGGGTAGTCCCTGTATTATATCGATCTGTTGTCGCTGGTATTCATCAGGAGCTGAAGCTATCCCAAACAGCATTCTGAGATAGCGGTATCTGCCGAATGGGGTCCAGAAGGTTGTCAAGAAGGAGCTATCTTCATCAAGTTTAACTTGATGAAATCCTTCCTTGGCATCGAGGACTGTAAAGACCTTGGCATTGAATAGAGAGGATAACATCTCTTCAAGTGTTGGAATCTGGTATTTGGGCTCTCGTTGATCTAAACAAACTCTCATCTTGCCTGGTTTATCGACAACAACCAGGCTGATGATCCATGCTGTAGGCTCGATTACCTTCGCTATGATGCCTCGTGCCTCTAGGTCGCATATCTTGTCGTGTAGTTTTGTCTTTAATGGCAACAGGAACACGACGTGGTGCGTTCTGGACTGGTCGCATGTCAGGATCAATGTCAATGTGGTATTCGCAAGCTAGGCTACCTAGCCCTTCGAATACATCGCTGAACTCTGACAGAATGTCGCTCTCTGTTATAGGTGCTGCTTCGTGATGTTGCATGCTGTTGACTGCGCTGTCCACATGTACGCTGATGAGGCCCATCCTTGTACATGTCCGTCGTGACAGGAGGGGAGGCTGACTGGAATCAACTATTTTGAAGTTAAAATTCCACTGCACGCCTTTGTAGTGACATCTCAGATCACATTCTCCCTTGACGTTGATGATACTGTCGTTGTACAGTTCTCAACCTCGCTGTTGATTTCCTCATGCGGGGTTTACCTGTCTGCATGATTGCACACAGATTGTCGAATGACATCACGTTGCAGGTCGCTCCGGTGTCGATCTAGCCTTTCACCAACGCCATCATGGCTTAACTTGCCCGCATTCAAAGCGGCGAGAACGCGAAGCGACCGGGGATGGAGACCACACAATGCGAGTGGCGAGGCCACGAGGGCCTTTTGCAACTTGTCGAGAAATTCTTATGTTTTTCTTTATAATCTCGATTTTTGCTACCCCAACAGGGTAGCAAAATTCAAACCAATCATCAGCCTTTTCGTGCGTGCGTGGCTACTACGCGGACGCGTCGACGCGTCACGTTGGATGCTTGCACAAAATTTACAAACAAAAAATGCGAGTCTAGTTTTTCACGAGATCGTGACTGCTTGTCTCTCCATCTGCACACCGTCTGGAAGTGGTTCATTTTCCCGCACTTTGCGCACTGCCATAAGCAGGGCATTTCTTTTTTGTCCCACTCATGTGAAGATCCACAGTATTTGCACGATGTAAGTTTCTGAGTCTTTTTGTGATCTCTGGGCTTTGCTCTGGTGCTGCTGTTTTTTTTTTCTGCTCTCTCGTTTCTTCACAGAGTGTACAGTTTCTGTCTGTGGCACGTCTATCTTTTGAGCTGGTCCCTGTGTCAGCTCACTGATTCGGAGGGACTCTATTGCTTGCTTCAGATCACATTCTTTCTGCCTGAAGAGACGTGCTCTTGCTGTTTTATCTCTAGTTCCAAGAACCAGTCTATCTAGGATCATCTCCGTTTCTAGCTGAGTGAATTTGCATTTCTCAGCCAACTGTCTCAGGCGAATGACATACTGGTCTACAGTTTCATTTGGCTGTTGATCGGCAGTATGGAACAGGTATCTCTCATAAAGTACATTCCTTGATGGTGCGAAATGTTCCTGTAGCTTGTCGAGAATGGTTATGTTCTTGCAATCTTTACCCATCACACTTTTCAGAGTAGCCACTTGGATAGACACATCCTTTTTATCAAGTCCTACTGTTTTGCGATAGTCCTCGAAACTCTCTGAAGAAGGTCCAACTATTTGAAAGATCACTCCCTTAACAGTTTATGGCCTCTGGCGGTGGAATTTGATAGGCCGCCATCATGCAATCACAGTTGTGTGTTGCTATTCACTGTGTAAAATGTACATGTACACTGCAGTGTATCGTTCGTTTGCATGCATACAGTCACTGAAAATTCGGGAAAATCTCTCTTTTTTGCAGTTGAAGGCTGGCTACTCCAACATTCACAGTATACTCCATGGAATAACTGACATTTTTTGCATAGATCAGTCCACTTCTAACACCATGTTACGTGGTTCTATTTATGATTGAGGCTTGGAAAGACGACACTTATTCAGACAGTATTCTGACTAACAACTTTGTATTCTGAACCTCTCCAACTTCATGTCAGGTTAACGTAGCAACACATTATAGAGGGCGCTATACAGTTTTAGTGGTGTTTCAGAGTGAACTCTTATATCCCAGACAATATGGACATTACATCATGAAAAGTAGACGTCTATCTAGGAAATGCCCAATTCATTTTCTCTTAAAGTGGGCTTCCAAACCTCGATATGCTTGAAAATAAAAAGACACATTTTTTTATGTGACCTCTTTTTTTTTGCACAGGTGACATTCAAAACAAGTGCAGACCAGGCGTCTACAGGATCCCCTGCAAATGTGGCAAAGAGTTGGCAAGAGGTGAGTTGGCATGTTGGTGAGCCTGGTAGGGCTCAATGCACACAAAGTTCATGGCAGATGCGAGGATGAGACGAATCATCCATCGTAAAGTACTACCATACAGAAGACCACAAAATTAACTGGCAACTAATAGAGCTCATCACAATAATTGAACATGGGTTCCCAAACCATCCCGATCTTTATTTATTTATGCACTCTATCTTGTTTTTTTAACACAGGTTAATCTGTTCAGACTATTATTGGCTCTTAAAATGTTTAGCTTCAGCTCTTTTTAGGCTGTTTGACCTATAGTTGATGCGATAGGTCTTGACATGAGCAGGTATATAAATTTCACTTTGACCACTGGTGTGTTCTGTTGCAGTAAGCGAGGTTTCTAGCAAAGATACTGTGGGTTAAAGGGCTGATTTTTTTCTGTACTTGTTAATCATCTCCTCAACTGCATAAAATGATTCCAGATTTACATGAAGGTTACAGTTCAGGTACATTTTGTACCCTCATTCATCCCATACTTGGAAGTATAAATTTAGGTATGACAAATGCAATGTTCTTATCCTTTTTCTATTCTCTGGGTTTGTTTCTGCAGGTTATTATCCTGTTGGAGGGCATTTCATTAGTAGCAGGTCAAGTCATTGCCTACTTTGTG